TTTGGTACCCCAAACTTCTGAGAAGCAGCTAAAACTGACGTTTTCTTCTCTTTAATAGCTGATATAGCAGCAATAAGGCCTTCTTTAGAGTAAGTCTGGGGTCTTTTTCTCTTATAATTTCTGACCATAGCCAACCATAGCCAACAGCCAAACAGCACGAGGACTCTATCTGACCACACCTAGTGCTGCACAGTCCAGCCCCTCCCCTTTGCATTGAGCAAGCAAAAAATAATGATAAAAACCTTAAAAGGTATTTGGTAAAACGATAAATCCCATAAAATTGTTTATAATGTTCCTGGATATATGCAAAAAAATTGTTTTGAGTAGCCTCAGTACAAATAAACTAATCAAATTTACTGTAAACAGATTTTTTTGAATTGCTTTTTTTGGTCCGCGAGGAAAATCTGGTTAGTGTTAACTATCTATCTGATTGCATCACATCAAAAACTAATTTGAGCTCTGTTAGTGACCTAATTAAGCCATTAATGCATAAGAAAGTTGCCTTGAAGCCGAGTTTGAAGCTGAACTTCGGTCTTTTCAGAAAATTAAAGAAATTACCCCATAACCGGAAATGCCCCGCCCTACGTTACACGACCCCACCCATATATCCTACTGTCAAAATATTAGACTTGGAGTACTCGGCTACTCGTCTTGTGATTGTAAGGCAGCAAGTTAGCAACTAATGGCTGGTAAGTAAGTTCAAAACTACATTTAGGTGTAGATAGATAGATAGATATTCGTAATTTTATGAAATCTATGGCTAGAGGAACAGTCCCCATATATGTATAAACAAAAGCTACATATGCTTGTTTATGTAATTCTACTCTTTTCTTTTATCCAGGCAACCTGAGAAGCAATTTGGTATCTGGACTTAATGAACAAGACGACATCACTCCTCTTCAGTTAGTAATATCAATACCACTTCACTCTGCAAACACAGGAGTACAGTTACCCACCAATGGTAACATCATTTCATCTCAGAATGTAGTTGTTGGTGCTTCAGGGGATTCCACTCCATCTATTCCTTTAGTAAGTTAATTACACTTGACAAATGGTATACCCATAATAAGAAAGATAATGCTTCAGAATAAAAACTTTAAAGTAATTAGATATGTATATATTTTTAAAATAAAATATTACATTATACTACTTAAAATTTATTATTCTGAAGCAACCAACATACTATCCATTAACTTGAAAACGATTTGTCTCAAATTAATGGATAGTATGTTTGTTGGTTGCTTGAATCAAGTAGAAATTTGTGCAATAGTCACAGTAATTCCATTTACTCATAATATCTCCCTCTCTTTAGCCTCAACTTCCACCTGTCATGAGTAGTGGGCAGCCCTCCTCTGCAAGCAATGACCCAGAGAAGAGGAAACTCATCCAACAGCAGCTAGTACTCCTCCTTCATGCTCATCGCTGTCAGCAGAGGGAGAGAGAGCAGCAGGTACACGGTGGGTTCAGACCCTGTGCTCTGCCGCACTGTAGGACGATGAAGAATGTTCTTAATCACATGACAGAGTGCCAAGCAGGAAGAGACTGTCAATGTATGTCAGTAAATTTTGAGGGTATAAAATTTGTTTTTTGTGAAAAGGTCATGATTTAATTTCACGTTTTTGCATGTGCACATTCATCAAGTACACATGCTGCATGCACATGCACAGTGAATATTTCCACGGTATTAATTTTCATACATGTAGTTAAGAAAATCACCCACGAAATCCACAAAATTAAATACCCAATGGAATTTTATCTTGTACAGTATGTAATACAAATAGATTTATGCATCATTGCACTCAAATCAAATCAAATCAATACATGTAAATCAAGATCGTCCCAGATCATAGCTTATCTCTTTCCATCCTTTCTCTCCTCTCTGTCTCTCCTCTCTCTAGTTCCTCATTGTGCTTCTTCAAGACAAATCATTTATCACTGGAAGAACTGCCACCAGCAAGAGTGTCCTGTATGCCTTCCTCTTAAAAACACCACTCGTCCCAACGTGGGTAGTTCCATAGGCGGAGTTCCTAATTCAATGTTTGGTGGTGACGTCCCTCCTGTGAGTCTCCCACCACACCTGGTCCCAACAGGTACGAATAGTTACCCAGGGCAAATCGCACCACACTCTGCCCCTCCCACTGGGGACGTGGCTCAAAATCAGCAAATTACGAAGGACAGTAAGTGTTGGAGTTTTGGCGGGGTTTGGTAGGATTTTGTTATAGTACATGTAATGAAAACTTTTGCATGTACATGTACATGTATATTAAAATTTATGATATTTTTTATTAATTTTTGTAGCTGCTGGTGCTATGGCTCCTGGTCAGAATCCACCTTTACCTCAAAAAGCCAGCCAGCCTCAAGGAGGAGGAGGAGGAGTTAATCCTAATCCAATGGGACCAGCTCCTGGTCTCCCTCCTTCCTCTACCAGTGGGCCCATGGGCCCTAATCAATCCATGCCTCCTAACCAGTAAGTACCTCATACTTGTATGCATGTTCTCTCTCTTTTGTTATTGTTGTATTTTTATTATTTTTTGCTTTTTTTAGTGTTAGAGCGTGGCATGCTGAAGTTAATTTAGACCTAAGGAATCACCTTATTAAAAAACTGTAAGTTAATTTATATAATACACATACATGTGCATATAATGTTATGTAACTTCTTTTATCTTTCTCCTTCCCTTCATTTCTTTCTCTCTCTCTCTCTTTAGAGTTGAAGCAATATATCCAGTTCCTAATCCAAACAGTATGCATGACAGTAGAGTGAAGAGCCTATTCCAATATGCAGTGAAAGTTGAGAATATGATGTTTGAGAATGCAAGCAGTAGGGTGAGTTTAATTGAGGGGTTTGGTCAATGTTAATTGCTTTGTTGTCTTGTAGGAGGATTATTATCAGAAACTAGCAGAAAAGATTTATCGTGTTAGAAAAGAACTGGACGAGAAGAGACGAATGAATGAAAGAAGGAAAGGTAAGAGAGAGAGAGCTGATTTTACATGTACATGCACTTAGATACGTTGTACATGCATATTATACATTGTGTATGTTTAAATTACAAGTACTATTTTCTTTCTTTTCTATCAGCAGGTGCTCCTAATGGCTTCCCTGATGATGGTCTTCATCCAATCACTGCCGTACCACAGATGCAAGGACAGCCTAACAGCCATTCACAAGGTACAAATTCAATTTGCATGTGTACATGTACATGTACCTATGGCACTGTTCTACATGTACATCATGCACATGTACATGTAGATTGATTTATGCAAAATTGTTTTCATTTTTCATCTTGCTATTCCTCATTCTCTTTGCAGGTGCCCCAGGCTTTCCTTTTAATGAATTCTCAAACCCTTCTCTCTCGTTTCCTCTAACTCCATTCTCTGAGACGACCCAAAAGGACGTCCTTAAAGAGCTCATCTCCTCCATCCCTGGGGGCACCGGTACCCCAGGAGGACTCTACACCCCATCACCCTCGGACCCGTCGGTCCCAACCGTCAAGAGCAAAATATTCTCTCCCCCCGTCTCTGCCCTCCCTCCCTCCTTTTCAGGACCTCCCCCGTCCTCTAATAACAACTTTGAAGATCAGACCCCACAGTCTGCTCTAAGAGCTCATCTCTTGTCTCCAACCAGGACCAACTTACCTCCGTCCTCGGCTACTCCTCCTGTGTCCATGGCCGATATGGAAGGCATCAAGATTAAGACTGAGACTCTCATTTCAAAGCCGGAGTCTCAAGCCCCGCTTCCCATCTCCGCCCCTCCATCAGCTCTTCCTAATATGAGGACTCCACAGACTCCCCAGGAGACATCAGGTTTGTATTAATAGTGTTAATTAAGTGATTGATTAATTGATTATTATTAATTAATTAATTGATTTTTAGTGCATGTATAACGTACCATATTACATGTAGAAATGTAGAATTTTTACTGTGACATGTACATACATGTACATGTACATGTACATGTATATTTTTTAATTCAGTCGTACCATTTACCATTGGGTGTTATTGTTAGTATCTTATTTAAATGTATAATTATTTCCCCTTCATGAGATAATGGATTATTTATTCTTGTTTTATTTACCGTGTAAAGGCGGTAATTGATAATAAAATGTAGTGAATTTTACACTTTTAAAAAGTGAGAAAATTGCAATAAATACCGTAAGCATATGCCCATACAAGCTAGTACATGTACCTGTACATGGAACTTATTTTTAAAGCATAAATTAAATTTATTTATTTTATTTTTTGTAGTTGCTAGTAAGCGAATGGGTCCAGTTGGAGCCAGGCCGATGATGCAGCCTGCTAGGTTTAACATGCATCAGTATCGTCCAGGAGGGATGGATCCAGGCCCAGGGATAGGTATGGGTTTATCATCAGGTATGTTACAATAAGGAAAGAAATCCTATGCCATATTTATGTGTATATTAGGTTTGAATTACATGTATATTTGTAATAACTGTAGCACTCATGTGGAGTTTAGGTGGCATTGTAAAGAATGTGATGTAAGTATGCACATTTATATGATGTACTGTACATACATGTACATGTACATGTAACTTTTTAAAACTCTTTAAAATCCAATTTTAACTGGGATCAGTTTAAACTTTCTACACAACGTAAAAACATGTATATGTATCAGGAAAAAAATTTAAATGAAAAATTCTCACTTTTTTAATTTTGGCAAAATTTGGCCTGAGACTGTGTATGGTACAAGGACTTTTACTCGATTTTGGAGCAACTTAAAAAATCCAGTGTTGATCAGAATCAGCTGAAACTTTTTTCACAATGTACATTGTGTATATGTATCAGAAAAATTAAAATGGAAATTCTCAGCATTGTGATTTTGGTGGAATTTGGCCTGAAACTGTGTACTATAGTACAGAGGCTTTTACCCAATTTTGGAGCAACTTTAAAATGAATGCATGATGGTACATGTACATGTACTTTTAGTATTAAAATTATTATTGTATTTACTGATGTTAGGATTACGATCTCTGCACCACCTGTTATCATAAGATTGGTCACGAGCACCCGATGGAGAGGCTCGGTTTCAATATGGAAGACAAAGAGCCCGAATCTTTTGTCTCAACTACCGTCTCTCGTGTGGAGATGCAGAAGCAACGAATCAAGTTCCTCATCCATGCCTGTCAGTGCAGTGACAGCTCATGCTCTAAGCAGCTCTGTATTAAGATGAAGCAGTTACTGAGACACGCCCAAAACTGTAAGATGAGGTCATCGGGGAAATGCTCTGTCTGTAATTTCTTTGTCAAGTTGTGTGCGGCTCATGCTCAAGAGTGTCGCGAGATCAAGTGTCCAGTCCCGTTGTGTGCTAATTTGAAAAAGAAGACAAGAGAGAGACGAATGAGGGAGCAGTCTAGAAGTTTCCAACTTGCCGACCGACAAATAATGGCCATGAATCGCTCTCATTTGTTCCCCCTTACTACTACTAATGAGGAGAGCTCCAATAAATCCAGTGCAAAGCAAACTGGTAATATAAATATTAAGTTCAAAGAGCTGGGCCACATATGGGACTCATTTTATTTACTTATGAGGCATATTTACTTATGAAGTTACAGAAAATCTAGCAAATTTGCAAATAACACAGAATTAGGCTGTACAGTTATTTATAAGTCAGGTTATTTTTATATTTTAATAATTATGTGTAGTACTAATGATACAAAACAGTATAAGCAAAACTGAAGCATAATTAATATTATAATTATTAGTATGATCAAGCCACACTTTAAAGTTTGTTCTATTCCATACATCCACTGCCTTATGCTCTATATATGGTGTGTATGTGTTTACAGCTGCTAAAATTAAACTTCATTTTGATTGTGTTTAGGAATTGTGAATAAATGGCTAAAAGAAGGTAGTGTTGAGCTGACTGTTACTCGTGTTAACTTGCATGGACCTCCTGGAGCTGGAAAAACCTGTGCATTGCAGCTTCTACTAAATGAAGACCCACCTACTGAGCATGTTACTGACAGTACACCAATCGCTCGTCCAACTGTCAGAGCTACAAGAGTATCCGTTGACAATTTGAAGTGGGAGAAAGTTACTAGAGCTGGTTTACTTGAAAGACTAGCTTCTGATTTAATTGCGGCAGCTGCTACTCAGCCTGAAGAATGTATTGAATCTACTTCACCTTTAAATGTACCAGCACATCAGCCAGAACGACACAATGATCCTATCATCAATTCCACTTCTATTGGAAATTCTGCTCCTCCTATCATCAATTCTGATCCTATCACTAATTCTGATTCTGATCCTATCATCAGTCCTACTTCTAGCATTGATTCTGATTCTATAGAAACAAATGAAACTATCATTTCAGATAATGAAGGGAGCTCGGTGTCAAATGAAGCCAGTAATGATGAAACTGAAACTGTTATTCAAGAAATATTAGGTGCAATCCAACGATCAGCAGTTCAGTTAAATGATGATTGGTTGTATATCATTGATTCTGGAGGTCAGCCAGCATACCAGGAGCTATTGCCATTGTTCATTAGAACAGCTTCTCTCAATATCATCACTCTTGATCTCTCCCAACCTCTTGATAAGAAGCTTGATTTTCAGTACAGAATTGGGGGAGAGACTTTTTTGTGTGGTTTGAATTTAAAGTATTCAAATCGGGAATTCTTTCAGTCTGCAGTTTCTTCTGGAGCCATTTTGAAACCAATTCATGTTCCTCATGTGCTTGAAACACCTTCACACCCAATGCATTTCGTATTAGGTACACATTATGATCTCATAAATCAAGATAGCCTCAAAAAGATTGATGAAGAGTTAATGTCTTCACTGAAGCCTGACATACAAAATTATGTTGTTCCCAATAAGCGTGGAGAGTCTATTATATTTCCTGTTAATACACTAATCCCTGAAGATGAAGGAAGATTGGCAGCAGGTCAGAAATTATGTCAATCAATAGCAAATTGTGGAGGCACTTCTCTCAAAATAAATATGCCAATTCGCTGGTTTGCATTTGAGCTTTGGTTGCACAAGGTAGCAGAGAAGAAAAGCCGCAATGTTCTCATAATAGATGAAGTTATATCTGCTGGCACAAGGTTTCAAATGAGTGAGAATGATACTAAGGATGCCTTACGGTATCTCCATAATGTCACTATTGTCCTATATTTTCATGATATCTTGCCAGAGTTAGTTTTCGTTGATCCTCAGCCTATTCTTGAGATTCTGTCACGTTTATTGGCTCTTACTTATGTAGAAAGAAGTGCACTGCACCTAATTACCAATCCAGTACCTTTAGATGAAGATATTAACAAGCTTCATAATTTTGGTTTCTTTCAGAAGGAGCTCTTGTCTCATTTAAAATCAGATGTTAAGCTTTTCTTCCCACCACACTTTGAGCCCTCACATTTAATTAAACTTCTCATTCATCTTCGTGTCATTACCAAAGCTACAGGAGGGAATTATTTTTTTCCGTGTGCTTTGCAGCCATACACTGATCTACCTATGCCTCAAACAGAAACCAAACCTCTCCTTATAGTCTGGCAAGAGACACATGATCATTTTGGTCTCAATTCTCTTCCAGTTCCACAGGGACTGTTTCCCTTACTCATCACTCACCTCCTCAATCAGAAAGATCACTCCTGTATCATTGAATTCCCTCCATTAAAGCCAAGGTACTACAAGTATCGCGATGCGCTATCTTTATGGATCAAAATTAAAAGAAAACGTTACACACTTCACATAATCAATCGCTACACACATATCGAGGTTTATTTTGTTGGATCAATTGAGAAAGCAAAAGAGAATTGCCTGTATATTCGTGAAATAGTCATGACAGCTGTCAATCAAAGTGCTGATGCCATCAATGTCAAGCGCAATCACATTAATGCATTCTTCTGTCCTAAGGAAAGGAACTGTTACTGTGTCGTAGAGGAAGACTATTTGGTAAATTGTACTTTATGTGATACATCAGCTGATATACATGAAGATAATGAGAGCTACTGGTGCTGGTTTGGTTTAACAGACTGTAGTTTAACAGAGTGTACCCATGAAGCGCAAACCCCAGGTAAATCAACCTCCATATCAGTAGTTTAATTGAATCAAGCATGAATCAACTGTACATTTTAATTTTGTGCCGATATTTGACTCAATAATTTAAAAATATCATTTTGTCTGTTATTATAGATTTACCATGTCCACTAGCAGTCAATATATGTGACTTGGATCAGATCTTAACTGACATGAAAGAGGGTCGTTTTCGTAATCGCAG